AAATGCACCAGAATGCACCAGACCCCAAATGGGACCCTGCTCAATGCACCAGAATGCACCAGACCCCAAATGGGACCCTGCTAAATGAACCAGAATGCACCAGACCCTAACTGGGACCCTGCAAAATACACCGGTATGCACCAGTGCATTTTGGTGCATTATGCAGTGAACTAATGTTTATCAGTCTAGGTACCTGTAGTACACTGAAAAATGCACTGGTTGCAAGATTTGTGTTGACTGCTAAATGCACCAATTTGCAACAACTTTTTCCCTCTGGTGCATTCTGGTGCATTCTGGTGCATTTAGCAGGGTTAGGGGTATGACAGGAGTAGTGTATATCTGAAGATGAGCACACAGTAAACAGGGCCATAGCTTGCATTCACTTAAACCACAACCTTTCACATTATTGTCACTGAGTGTTTGCTGTGCTTTATGCATGGAGCTAAGGACTCGGGGCAGATTATCCAGAAATCTTGTTACAAGTTTCAAGACTCTGTCAAATTATGTCGCCTTGTTGAAAATCCACGTGCGTGCAGAGCAAACTGCTTGACAAGGACAGCGACAATCTCTACCATAAGTTCACCATCCTGCAGTCGAGGATGAAGCCTGCCGATTACCACCCCGAGGAAGGGGTTTACGACGAAGTCAACGAGGAGATGTGGTGGTCATACCTCAATGAGAGGGGACAAGTTGAAGACGACTATGAACTCAGAAAGGTAAGGCAATGCAATTCAACCTAGCACTGTTGCCTTTATGAACACAGAGTGTGCAAGTCAACCTTAAAAAAAGGTGAAATACGAGGTTTTGAGCATATTGTATAGGAGATACCGGTATTTGTAAGCGATGTTTGAGTTTTTAGATTTATAATTTTTTGTGACTCAGCCTTGTTGGTCAAGGGCAATAAATTGAAAGAAGAGGCATCATGATTTTCATTACTAAAAATGTTATGATGATCATGATAACATGAAAAAATGTGACACCAACTTCTGAGGTCAGGTGTGCACAAAACCATTTAGTTAGAAACACCAGGGATGTTCATACAAAACTGAACTGGAATTGGCAAGACTTGCACGACTTGTAAGGCAAGTTGAATCATGCTTTGTAAGGGTTTCATCCAAGCAGCGCTCAGGGCTGATTAAACAAACATCCATGTACACAGTATCGTAGCTAATCTGAAGAGTGCTGGAGCTGATTGAATTAGCTAAAGCCCCAGAACTGACTACAAGGAAATGAGATCATGTGATCTCATGGCTGTCGTGTTGCCTGAGAATGTAGCAGAAATAGAGATTATGGTTGTGCCTTCCAATAAATATGTAGCTCGGCCTTCATGAATATGAAACAAGAATGGAAAATTAACCTCTGATACATGTACTCATTCCTGGCCAAGTGATTAAATTTGTGCTTTTATTGCAAACTAAAGTTTTGGGTACTGTGCAGTCTGAGCTTGCCAGTGTAGAGGAAAAGTGCAAAGGCACTGTTCAACCGTCATGTCACTTGTCAGGTCATATAAAAATTGGGGGCCTGCAGAAATTCTGTCTTTATATATGTACACGTATAATTCGATGGTATCATCAGGCTTCATCATGCATGCAAGCCGTGCCATGGCTGCCAAACAACATCAGTTCTTTAGTCTGCAAACAGTGACATTGAATTGTTACACGTAACTGTGAGTACGTCCTTTTGTCCTCTGCTAGGCAATCTTCTTTGGAGGGATCGACGAGTACCTAAGACGTGAGATCTGGCCATTCCTCCTCCACTACTTTGCCTTTGACTCCACCCTGGAGGAGCGCAATGCCCTGCGAGGGCAGAAGAGGGAAGAGTATGAGGCTATCAAAGAGAAGAGGTAGGGAACTAGACCTGGCTTTGGTCACTTCAAGTACTTCTCTCTGTGGATAGGGATAGTCACAGTTGGGTGTTTAGGGAATAAATAAAGCCACAGCTGGGAAAAAAGGGAAGTAATCAGCACACAGTTTCTTATATTAGCATCGGTAGAAGGAATTTTATAGTAGTGGTTAGCTTGGTGGAACTTCTTTCTCTGGTTGATTGGCTTAATCTGCCATTAAAAAGTTGCCCTAACAGCCCCAGTGTTCTTATGAGCAAATACATTTACCTCGCCTATGTAGTTTCCTTGGTTATGGGGTGTTTTTTCAATATTTTTCCATTTTTCTGAGAAGTTGCTGCTTCATTTTAGGGGCCTGTTTTGTTTCACGCTGATCCGGATCAAGATCAGTGATCCAACATTGGTTCGCTGACACCAGCACCCGCGTAATGGATAGCATGAACCAGCTTTGGGATCATGGATCGAGATCCAGCTCCATGTGAAACAAAAGGGCCCTGGATATTTTTGGGTTATGTTTGACTGTTTTTTTTTTCCTACTGCTCCCAAACATTACTCAGAAATTGAGTTCCGTAATACTGCAGCTATGCAACCACAATGAATATGGCTAGTAAAAGAAAAAATCTTGCTGTTTGATTTGTGACTTTTTTGGGCTCTTTTTGTCTGTTGAAATTGTGCCATCCTCTTCAACCTTTTTTCAGGTTGGCAATGAGTGTGGAGGAACAAGAAGTATTTTTCCGAAATGTCAAGTGCACTGTTGACAAGGATGTAGTTCGCACAGACAGAAGTCATCCCTACTTTAAAGGAGAGAACAACCCTAACATCGACATCATGAGGTCAGTAATGAAAAATCTCTGGCCTGTATGAGTATGTATGTAGCCCGCATAAAAGCTGTCAAATTGACTTTGTCCAGGAAAGGTTCAGCAGTTTTGAATCTGCTCATTCAGCTTTGAGCGATTCACCCCAAAATCCCGGTTTCCTTCTTTTTCTTTTTTTTCCAAGACAACCTGTACTTCAAGGTTTTGCATATACTTGGCGAATTTTCTTTGGTGGTAAATAATGCATTGAAGGTTTCCATGTGGATTGGATACGTGAATTGGTTCTTGTCTGAAAACTGTGATGGCAGTGGTCAAAGTCTTGCCAGAACAATTGGCAAAAGAGCAGCATTTCTTGAAAGACTTTGTGGGACAGAAAAGAACCTCCTTGAGTTCTAAACTTCATTTTGATCATTCAGAAATATCCTGTTAAGTTTTGCCGTCTACAAGCCCACCCTGGGCTACACCCAAGGCATGTCGGATCTCTTGGCACCTGTTCTGGCTGAGCTGCAGGACGAAGCCGACGCCTTCTGGTGTCTGGTGGGTCTCATGGATGACGTCATCTTTGTCAGTTCACCCAAGGACGAAGACATGGAGAAACAGCTGGTGAGCTTGGGGATGTATCTGGGGGTTATATCTGTCTTTGTGTTTCTTTCATTTACATACATGTAAAATGTTGCCGACGTTTGTGAACAATTTCCAGTTGGACGTGTACTGGCATCTCATTTGTTACTCTCATATTCGGTTTCTTGAGACACCGACCAGTTTAGTTCATACAGACACAGCCAGGTCTTGAACCAGCTTTTCTTGTGCTGTGATCGGCTTGCAGGTTTCAATCTTAAAGAGTGTGAAGGCCAAACCATTGACCTCTGTACCACCTTAATTTGGTGCAATATGATTTCATTAGAAATATCCGGTAACCTTTCAAGTTAGTAATTACAGACTGGTTATTGGAAATTCAGCATTGTGTGTTCACTTGGATTAGTGAAATACACACTACTGTCGGGAAACAAAATGATGGAAATGTGGATTCAAGTTGATTAGGCCATCCAGCGTGTTATAGCCTGGTGCTGTTGAGGTCAGTTGGCCAAACTGTCGAATGCCTGGACCACTTGGCTAAGGGTATCATCCGTCGACCATGGTAATCCAGATCAGGTGATGGGGCACGACAGCCAACTTTGCTCAGAACTTTTTAAAAAAGACGGTCATAGATGCTTCCTGTTTGCCTCTGTGAAGATTCCAGATTGTTGTAAAACCCCAAATTATTATACACCTTACATTAGGAGTATCCACCACTTGGTAAAATCCGTTATCGTAATCTAGGTTGAATGTCTTAATTGAGTGGAGGTGCACTTGGTGCTGCCACTTTTTGATACTGACCTTTGTATTTTGGCCTCCTTGTCAGGGCTACCTGCGAGCTCTGATCAAGCTGATGTTACCTGATTTCTGGAATCATCTTCTCTTCCTCAACGACGCCATGGACCTTCTTTTCTGTCACAGGTGTGTATTATCTGATGAGAACTTTCGACTAGTGTTTCAAACCTTCACCCGCAGAATTAGTAGCAGGATTCGTACGAAACTCTAGCATTCTGATAGAAATTCATAATCTACCTTAGAAACAGTGTATTTCTTTGTTCACCTTAGTGTTCTAACTGGCAATTGAGCACTTCTTGAAGTTTTCATGTGTTAGATTATTAGTTTCTTCAGTGTTTGCTCTGCTTTTCATGACCTGATTTCTGGAACAGATCATGTGAATTCCAATAAGGATTTATACCACGTGATTGTAAATCCTCAGTGTTTTTGGAGTGTTCGCTCTGTCCTTTGTTGTCTTGCGATGTACAGTCTCCTGGCAACAAACAGAGCATGCTGTTCATTGGGTTTTGGCAGGCTTTTCTCCTTGCCAGCCACTCTTGCTGACTTCACCTAGGACAACTTCATGTCTTCTAACAATTTAGCACTGTTTTTGGGAGAAGAGGGGTAGGGTTGGAATCGGCAGTGACCACTAACCAAAAAAACCCACAAAATTGGCCACCTTGTCACTACCGACACTGCAGGTGGATCCTGCTGTGCTTCAAGCGGGAGTTCAACGAGCCGGAAGCCCTAAAGATGTGGGAAGCATGCTGGGCCCACTACCAGACCGACTACTTCCATCTCTTCATTTGCCTGGCCATCATTGCCGTGTACGGGGAGGACGTCGTGCATCAGGTAGGATTAGGTATCAGTTGGGCTGTGTGCGTGCACGGTTGAGGGCGCTGTGTGGCTTTCTCGTGGCTGGGAATGACACACACATTTGTTTTCAAGGTTTTTTTCAGCGGTGCTACCCACACTTAATTGTCTTTCTGTCTGTCTAGAAACTGCCGTCAGATGACATGTTGCTACACTTCAGCAACCTGGCCATGCAGATGAATGGAGATCTAGTCCTTAAAAAGGTCAGATTTCTATCATGCTTTCTAAATCTTGAATTGGCACTTCAGCGGATGATCCATTTTGTTAAAATAATTTTTGGTAAAGTGTACCCAACATAAAATTAGTAAAAAGCATTGCTAGGGAAAACATATGGCTTAGGAGAAATATATTGGAAAAAATTTATCAGAATTTAACTATACCGTTAATAAATATTGCCTTCAGCTGATGTAAATCACTGGTAATTAGGAGGTCTTGGTTATGATCCCACCCAAGCAAGTGTGTGAGGTTCTCTCACAAGACATCAGAAAGTTCTAAGCTGAACCATATCGTACCAGCAGAGGAAAGATTTTGTCTTGGAATCGATGGTGCCTGGATGCAAACATTCCACACAGTACAGTCGTAATTTATCCAAGAATTTATAACTGCCTTGCTAATATTGCCCTTTCCATCGTACCAATGATCTCAAAGCATGTACTGCCATCATCCTGTTCATTGGTCCAGACCCTTAGGCAGCAGGTATCAGCAAACTTAATGTCTCAAATCTCACAGGTACCATTTATGCTCCTGGGTGGAGAGAAGTACATGTAGAGTTGACTCCCCCTAAGCTGCTAGATTTGAAGCCCTGACCCTACATTCAAAAGTCAGTCAAGTCACAACCCTCAACCACTACGCCATACGTCCCTCATCTAATCTACCCTTTGGTTTCCCTATTCCCACCCCCAGGCCCGTGGTCTCCTCCACCAGTTCCGTCTCTTGCCCCGCATCCCCTGCACCCTGGACGGACTTTGCGAGACCTGCACCCCGGGAATGTGGGACAGCGGCCATACCCCCGAGGTGGAATGTGTCGGCCTGGGCGTTCATGGAAAGGACTACATTTGCCCGCACATCAGGTGAAAAATACTGCATTTAAAAAAAGAAAAACATTCAGGAGCGGGAATTCCAATGGACGTACATTGTTGAGGTGTATTTATTCTATCATTGATTGGTATCATGACAGTAAATCCCTTAGTGTCTGAAATGTAAATCTGATTGAAGTTTGGATGGGAACCAGGTACCATTGCTCTGACGGCCCAGTGTTTGCCAGCTTTGCTCTCGGACCAAAAATTAATGTCCTATGGTCAACTTGGGTGCCAGTCTAAATTTTCAACCTAACAGGTTATTGTCCATTGGTTGGAGATCACACCCAATTAAATTAACACCCAAAGAGAAGCAAAACACGGAAACTGACAACTGAAAGAGTCCAACATCTTTATTAATTATTTATTGGAAAAGCATGCTGAGCTCAGAAAAGTTTGGCCTAGCAAGAATGGTTACCAACCAAAATGCCATGTGATGTTGATTACTCATGACTGGTTTTCAGCCTGTTTCCATGTGTGATGTTTCCATCACACATGCCTCTGCTGAGCAGGTTGTACTTCCACCAGAATAGTTCTCTTCAATTCAATTCACCATTTTAAGCATTTTACTCCCATCTTCCAAAATGTGATTAGCCTGTAAGTCCCTTCTGCACACATCTTGTCGGTGATTTCTTCAAGTTAGAGTGTGTTGATATTTTGCCAGGTTTAGGCCATTCGTATTAGGCAGTATTCGAACATTAAGCCATTAGTCATAATTTTTTAAGGCAGTAACTTATCGTTACCGACACCACGAACTGACGCTCACCTTCAAGTGGGTGTCAGTTTGTGAAGACCACATTTCCAACAATCAACAATTTCGGTTTCACGAACTGACACCCGGTAGGGCGCACGCACATCGGAACCGAGTCGAAATAGACTAATTTTCGTTTTCACGAATTGACACCCAAGGTTGTAAAAACAATACAGCGTGGAGAAAAATGCTTCGAAAAGTTTGACATGAATCTGATCCATCTGTATACTGGTTGCATCACACAAAAATTTTACAAAAAGTCATTTTTACTGGTGAAATTGAGATCAGTGTCAGTTCGTGAAAATGAAAATGCACGGAGTGCGCACTGAAAGTGCCGCGCTGTATTGGGTTCCAGTTCGTGAAAACGAAAATACCTCAGCTCTCTAAAATGCACACAAATTGCATCACCTCGTGCACCACTGAGTGTCAGTTTGTGGCATCTCCGACATTATCATTTAAATGTCATTGTACTTAAAGTGATCTATCTTTGGGATCTCTATCCGGTTCGTAAGTGTGACGTCACTTCAGTTTAAACCCCGCCCACTGCACACGTGCACTGCACATAGGGTTACATGCATTGACTTCTGTTTACATGGAACCATGGAACTGGAAGTTAACGCGCACCTTTAGCGATTGTCCAATGAGAGCCTGCAAATTGTGGCGCGTTTGCCTTTGTGACGAAGTCACTTACGAATGGGATTGATATCAGAAAGGTTAGGGACAAGCACTATCATCTGTTGACTTGTACGAGTTTTTTCTGTCTATCGGCTTGTTGGTTGGTTTGTTTTATCGAAGGAAAACATTTGCAAACACTCAGAACTTGAGGATGCATTAGGTTTTGTGTTTCATAGTCAGGTTTCTATTTTAGAAACGTGGGTACATTTCAATCAGTTTGCTTTTCAAAGGATAGAATTTGAAAAGCAACTTCAGCTGAACCGTCGGCCACAGTGTACACTTTATTGTGATTTTAAATTCTTGTGTGGTTGTAGGCCTTTGCATTACAGTGCTTTCAGCTTTTCTTCTGCAATACCATATCAAGTAAAGAAGGCTTGCACTTTTGACAATACCGAAATTTGTTCTTTATTTATTGTGAGAGATTCCAGGAACCAGACAAAGATGGCAGCCATGTGGCAAAGAGTGTACATTTATTAATTACCTTTCTGTCAGAAATGCACTGCTCAAGAGCTTATTCTAAACAATTCAGATTTCTTTTTTCCCCCTGTTTTTTCAGTTGGTAACCTACCATATCTTCTCACTTCTCTCCTCTATCTGTCATGATCCGTCTTGCAGCTCGGATGGAGTTTTGCAGTGTGTGGGTATAAGTCTTCGGAAGTGATTGCATTGCCATTTTCCCTGCACACCACTGCTCATTACTGTTGCTGTGATTTGTGCTTGTTTTTTTTTTTCACCAAACTAAATGCAAGTTATGTCCTAGTACGTGCAATAGTTTCAAAAGATACGGACGGCTGAAGGTATTTCTGGACAGACTATGAGCACAGGTGTGGAAAATGTGGCTTCTAATTTATGTTGCACTTTTGTTTTTGATTTATAGCACCTCCTTATCACTCAGTGGGTTTTTTTTTGTATAGTTGTACCAATAACCCGTAAGGTTGCCTCGAGTCCTGTGATAGTGTTGTGAACATTTCTGTTGTCAAAGGAATTTTATAGACTTGAAAAGAGCTTCTGCAAATTTTAAGCAATCTTTTTAAGTCATAGAAAATATAATGCGAAGGAATAATAAAGTTGCTGCAGCATTGTGGGACAAAAAACAGTCAGTCATGTCGTTTCCGACATTTTACCAGGTTGTTTTCAGTGGATTCATAGATAATATTCTTTCAGTTTTCCTGACCTTGAAACAATCAGGTTTTTATATATTTCTGTATGTCTATTGAAAGGATGAAGCAGATGGAGAAGAAATGTATGTATTCTCTTGAGTTACTGTATCTCTTTGATCAGAGAAAATTTTGTGAGGATTCTGTGTCATTAGCTTTGGAAAACGGTGTGATGTTCACCTCTCCATGACAAAAATAATGATTTTCTTTTTCTTTGAACGTGTGTAAGGCATAGAATTTTCTTTTTAAGTCAAAAGTCTGAGAATTCTCCTTTGTGGTCGTGAACTTTTGATTTTGTAGTAGAAGAGTGGTGTAACGGGGAGAAATATTTGTTTTCTGTTCTTGTGATGGCAAATTCGAACAGACGTACTAAAATCCTTGTTTGTGCCAGCTCTTCCCATTCGGCATCTCACCATGCAGCCTTTGTGAGGAACCTCTCTCGGTTTTTATTTGATCCATATTCTTTTCTGCCTCTATTGAACATTATTCATGGTTGGTGTATTGTATGGGTCATTCCATGAGGTTGGGGCACAATTTGTGACGCTGTCCATTGTTACATGGGTTCCGTACAAACGAACAGCTATTTCCCTGCATGTGGATTCCAAATAATACATCCTGCAAGGCTGAAAACAGAGGTGTGTCATTTTTACAGAGTAAATGACCTACTCTGTTGGTCATGACAGGTGGGAAAAGTTACCCATGTTAGAAGGACACTGTCACAAATTGTGCCTAAACCTCATGGAATGACCTGTATGTGACATTTTGTAGCACTGCCTTGTTAACATTTACTTAATGACCAAATTCTAGCCACACAGCAACTTGTGAAGCTAGGGACCTATTCCTGTTTACATATTCCTTCCGAACAGGGAGTTATCACAAATCACGTTGATGTATTTGACTTTTGTATTTTGCACAAATTTTATTTACAGATCGTCACTTGCCTGCAAACGTCAGATTTTGTTTACTTTAATACTTTGTTTAGTAAAGGTTGTTTTTCCTGGCTGAAGTCACTGAGCACAGTCCTTTGTGCATGGTTTATGTTGAAAAGCACAGGTGGATAAAAGACGCAGGTGAAGACTTCTGAAACTTTTTCCCATGTTACTTGTAATTGAAAAGAAATCTTGTCTTGGCGATGTTCCAGAATACCTGCACAGGACTGTAAGTGTCGCCAAATTTTTAACCTGCCAGCTGGCCCCTTGTGTACAGATTTCCAGATCGTGTTTATTTGGTCCTCCAACAAATAACAGTCACTTGAGTCAGCTTACTGGTGTAAGCAAGCTTGGACCTAGTTTGACCAGCAAGCGTCAGTCAACCACTGGTCAATTTTTGCCCAGTACCCAGGGTACACCTTTTGCATAGATTGCCAAGGGGAATCAACCAGTGGTTTTTTACAATAGCCTCGGTGGTAGAGTGTACAGGACCTCTGCATGAAAGTCATTTCTGGGCATCCACTCCAGTAACTTGGCCGTGTGTTTTCTCACAAGCTTTCTAAAACTTCATTTGCTGCACAAAATGCACCAAGGAGGGAAAACCTTGATTTTAAATCACTCCCAGCAAACTTCATTGAATTATTGTTCTGTTCAGTCAGGTGTTCATGCCAGCTCATTCAAAGCTGACTTTCAGTCTGTCTTTCTCATTCAGTCTAACAAAGTTTCGGTGGGTTTTCCTGTATTTACCTAAGCTGAGCCAGTCATATTGAGCACTGCCTTGAATTTAATAGTGTAAATAACAGTAAGCAATTTATTTATTTCGGTATATCCATACTGCCTTTATTATAGCTGCCTTGCCTAAGAATCTTTCAGTATTTGTCTCTCTAATCTTTGGAGATGTTTAAAATACTGTGCAAAATTCTGTCTAGAAATTAAAAACTAAGAATTAAAATTCAGCTTAGCATGTTGTGTGGATAGCTGGAGGGACTGCACATCCATGTGTTTAATAAGCAGTCTTCAAAGACTTGGTTAGAAAAATTAAGATATCGAGCCCTGTTTTTAACTTACTGAAGCAAATTTTGTACTCTTTCAATAGAAGGGTGTGAGTTGATAAACAGCTTGACTGCTTAGCAGAACATAGTGTTGACTACTATAGACATACATGTACATGAGTGCTGAGATGGGTTCAAAAGGGGCCACAGTCCTTGTACTGTACAGCAGCAACGCAGCGTCGATTCTGCTTAACCCTAACCCTCCTCAATCCTTCACCTGTTGGAGGACTGAGGAGTGTTAGGGTTAATCTTCGTGCAGGATATACAGAATTTGGTAACCTGGGTGCAAATGTAATATAATATTGTACCACTAAACAATAGCTTGCATTACACTTAGTGTGTACTTTATAAATATGCATGGAATTCAGCTTTATGGTAACTAATGTTAGCCTTGAAGATGTAGATATATAAAGAGAAAATAGATTGCGTAATTTATGTTTTGTGTTAACAGCAGGGAACTTGTTGAAAGCCGAGTTTGGTGTACAGTACTACACATTCCCAGTACCCTCCTAATTTCACTGTAATTAATTGATTGGACACAACTTATATTAGGCCCACTTAAGGAAAGTTGGTTTCCTGCACAGAAAAATAAATAACTCATTGGCCAAGCAGGGAACCAATATTTTTCATGTCAAATTAACCCTGTCATTTCTCCTCAGTAAAAAGTAATAATAACTGTTGAAAAAGTACATTAGCCCTCCTATGCTAAGATGCATTCTTGACACAGTTGTCATATCAGTCAAAGTCTGTCAAATTTCCCATATATGTGTCTGTGTACTGGGGGAAATTAATTGGAAGGCATTTTTGACTTTTTGACGGTTAAAACAGGAGGGTTAGTGGCTGTGGAATGTTTGTGAAACTGTGCATAATTGCCATGCTAGTCTTGGTGCAAGACGGCATCAGCATGGTGGCACATTAGATTGCAGTGCATTATTGTCTTCAGTGATTAACTGATAGAGGGTGCTTTACAGCTCTGAGCCGGCCATGCACACAAAGTCAGTTGGTGTACATGTCGGGTTTGTGAATATGTACGGAATACCCTCTACTGGTGAATCGGGGTGTGTGGGTGAGTGATGTGATGGTGGCAGGCGTGCTGGGTGATTGTACGGCGAGAAAGCAACTTTGAGAACATCCTGCACTAAGACTACAATTGTGCCAGAATGGGAATCCAAAATTTTTACGTGTTTTGGCAAAAATGCACCCCCCTCCTCCTCTTGTGTTTCCAACTTTCCCCCCCCCCCCATTTATGCTCCCAAAATTGCTCACGATATCCTTAACCTGTCAAAATGTGGCGACTGTTTTAATACTGCACTTGGACCTAGACCCTCCAGACGAGAGGTCCAGGAGTACATACAAGGGAGATGGGAGCAGGGGGCAAGGGGGGGCATGTGTCTCCCAGCAGAGGTCGGTGTCAACCCTGGAAATTTCCGTTAGTCATGCCACTGTATCAGAAACATCCTTACCAATTTTTAACCTTGATTAATGAACTTTTAAGATACTGTGCTGAAATTCTGTTGTATTTACTTTTCCTCATGTTTGTACTGAATATGATTGTGGCAAGGAGTTGTGAGCAAAGATCATGTAGCACCGAAGGCGCAAGATGGATAACTCTGCCCGAAAGGTGTAATTACCATGGGCACCATTTGAGCAAGCGATACGCCTGTGCCGTTTACGGTAATGCTTGGGCGCAGGCTCACCAGGTGCATGTGCCTGCCGCGGCGGCTGCGCCTAAGCAGTAATATGCATTGCGCAGGCGTATCTCTTGCTCAAATGGCGCCTATGCGATTACAATGTTTTACGTGTATTCGCGGTGAAGTTCTCCATCTTGCGCCGCTACGCGGTGCTATACGATCTTTGGTTGTAAGTAACCTACATGTAGCTGATGATGCTGGTCCTCTAAATTCGGCCTGTACTGATGTCACACGTTGTTTACATGTGCACTTTCCCATAGAGCCAGTGGGGGCTCATGGTCCATCAAGCACCGTAGGAAAGTTCAGACGTAAACAAAGTGTGGCATCATCGGAACAGAGTTCTATCAACATCGGGTGTGGTCAACGGATATCAGACCACACCCAAAAGATGCTCATGTGAGTGTTAATTTAATGAGACAACTAAATGGTGAAGAGGCGAATTGGCTGATAGAAAAATGGGTTAACCTTGCGTCTGCTCGTTGGCTAGTTGCCCACCTCTGATTACTGGCCTCATTTGTTGAAGCCTCATTTAGTGAAGCTGTCTTGGGTGCAGGTGTTCTGCTCACTGTATTATTTTCGGTGACCTGTCAATAATGGTGAGCATTTTCAGTGCCCACTTGCTGTTTTGTGGCCATGTGTCAATTCCAAATGCCCATTTCCTTCTTTAAAGGTTTTTCAGTTGTCACAAAGTGTCATCCATGATATGTAATCCCCCTTACTTCATTTCATGTAGAAATTGTATTAAATAAACACAGTTCAGGTACAGGACACTGAAGTTCCACATACCATGGAGGAAGGAACACATGCATAGAGCAGTAGTTTCAAAATCTATTTATGTGTAAATATTTGCTCATGCTCACATTGGTTCAACCTGCAATACATGCTATTGAAATATTCCTGCTTAATCACAAACGAATTAAATAAATTGATGTCAACAACTCTATGCTTTTGTCCAGTGTTTAATTTATTTTCATCAAATTTCCAATCATTACAGGAAATGATTTATCAACTAATAAGGTTTGTATCTGGATATTTTTTGGTTTTATCTCAAATTGGATCTGATTATGAAGCATTCATATGTAATGAACTTCAAAGTGTGAGCTAAAATTATTTGGATAGGATTCAAGTTGAAAAGGAATAGAAAAACTACAAATTTTATCAATGAAAATTATCATTTCAAGGTGAACCTCGATTCTGGTGCAGTGACCATTAGCATGTATGCTACTCTGTCCTGAGTGCTGACATTAAAATAAACCTTGCAGCATAGGTCATAAAAAGCATTTCTCTTTGCCACGTGACCTACATTCAGTTTTTTCCATTCAATGTAAATCAATTGATTTTCCCTTGGAAAGGTATGCCCTTGTGAGGCACACCTCTGAAATGTCGGAAATAAGGGTTCCACATTATTAGAAAGAACAATATTTATCACTTAAAAGTCGTTATTTCATTGAGCTGCCGGGCAGAGGACATTTCTTAGTCAAGTTTTCCACTGAGCAAAAGTGAACGGAGATTCAGTTTGAAGGAATATACTTTGCAAAGCAGTATGGCTGGTAACCAGTTGTTGCTGAGCACATTTTTTCTGTGCTTACCACAAGTTAGTTGCTTAGCTGATCTGTGAAACTGGCCCTAGCTAGACCCTCAATGGAACAAAACGGTTAAACATCACCTCCACGGGCTCGGAGTGCCATGAGCCAGTCGTACAGCCGTGGGGACAAGACCCTCACATAGATGGCCAGTCTGTGGTGGAAGGGACCCAGGACCAGATCACCTTGTTTCTGGATCACTGCCTGAAGTATTTTTTTCACAACATAATCAGTAGACATCCCTGTCGCGATGTTGCGATCCATCTCTGTAGGACATTAAACAAAGGGCACAAACGGTGGGGTCTTACTCTTGAGATAAAGCCCGCATCATGTCTATAGGCTTGGTCTTTGTCTTGGTGGTTGCAAACACATGGGCACAAGCTGACAACAGACATAGCCATAGCCCTAAAAGCATGTTTAAGATAGCCTGTTACTTTAGCAGTATTGATGATGACAGAATTTCTCATAAATGAAAATGTTGTATGTTTGTTCACATTTCCATCAGGTGCGCATGTGCACAGATAGGCTTATATCCTGGCCAGCACTGCAGTATGAGGAAGATTTCTTTGGAAAATTCGGGATGGAATTTCGGAAGGTGTTTTCCGCTACAGTTTTGGTCCACAGAGTGACTATAGTAGAGTACGGGTGGTCCCTGTAACTAGCAAAACTAAAAATGTATACCGTATGTGCGACAACTGTGTCCTGACCAGTGCATACACAGAGTGTGTCTAGGAGTCTTATCTCCAGGGGCGTATCCAGACCGGGGGGAATATGATTTCTCTGTCTAAATTGTTTTATATGAAATAGACTTATCAACCCCTCCCCTAAAAGGTGGCAGAAACACTCTCAAATGCTAGCCCTTTCAATTCCTAAAAAGCAAAACTTGTCTCAAGGCGGGCACTTTCCTCCCACTTCCACACTGGAAAAGCCACTCCTTATCTCTCTCACACGGAGGCTGCACAGCACTATATATGTAGTTTCTTCACAGAGTACAAAGCCTGGATCTTTACTTCAAAAGGCTCAGACTCGTGCTCTTATCAGATAGAGAAAACATAGGTTTTTACTTCCAAATGTCGGTCCACTTCCTACCTCCGTGCCGCGTGCCATCTGCAGTCACTGCATTGTAGGATATGTTGGTCTTGATGTAACTGGGACTGACGACTGTCACATTTATCTTGTGCTGTGCCACCTCGGCACGAAGGCAGTCGAAGAAAGCATTCATTGCATGTTTCGACGCTCCATCTGAGAATGTGATGAGAAAAAGAAAAAGGATTTCCTCAATATTTTCATGATCTGGAACAGAAAGAAATTTTAAAAAGAAAGCCAACAGTTTATCTACATGTAACTATAATACTCAAGATGTCTCAAGATTTTTGTTTCTGCTGTTTTTATTTTTTCAATATATGCGAATTCTACCTCTAGTTTTATGATGACTGATTGAGATTTAGGGGAAATGCAGCTTCTGAGTAAAAATGTAACATCAGGTGTTTATAGAAAACATCAACTGAAAGGCCATATTTTTTTAAAGCATTTTCATAACTGCAGTTTCAGGTGGTAAACCTACATGCTGAACGATATGGAATGGCGATCTTTCCCTGCACGCTGCTGATAGCAACGATATGGCCACATTTGTTAGCAATCATGCTCAGGAGAAGTTCTGAAATAAACAACAGTTATCAGAAACCGACTTAAAAATCTCTGATGAATGACTGCAATGCAGGTGTGCCTGATGGCTGATAAGAGAAAAATTCATTGGGGGGGGTGCAAAAATATTTGGAGGGTGTCAATGACTCGTGCAAGTTCAGATTTCTTCCTCTAGTTAAAGACCTTGTTTCCTTATGCATTTTTGAGTTGAGACGATTGACATTTCTAGTTAAATGTCGGGGGACTCTCTTGGTACAATGGTAACTTGCCTTCTGCCTCTATGTCCCAAGACTTTGTAGCCCACCAGTCCAACATTGGGCTTGTGTTTCCAAGCTGTTTCTGTGGATTTTCCCTGGAATTTTACCCAGGGTTTTCCTCTCACCACTGAAACTGAAAGTTTATTCTTCGTCCTCTCTATCTCCAGATTTCTTTCAGGCCTCTGGGCCATTGTGACTGCACTTTTGATGAACCTACGGTTTCAGTACCAGACAAAATTAAATTGTAACTGAATTACACTGATTACACGACCAGACAGCATTACCTTTTGTCAGTGCCACCGAGCCGAAATAGTTGATGGTCATGACTTTCTGGTGGACGGACATCTCTGTATCCTCCACGGCCCCTTTAGACGTCATGCCACCATTGTTAATCAAGATGTCTACCCTACCATGCAGGGCCAATGCCTCCTGAGCCTTCTTGGGAATCCCTTCCAGGTCCTCCAAGTCAAGGGGTAGGATGCAGGGAGGATGGGTGGGTGTGGTCTGGGAGACAGCAAAAAATGTTTCTACTCACGTTGAAACTAGCTTAATTGATGAGTCACACCAGCAGTGACACACTGGTCGGCATGAAGGCACTAAATGTATGAATGAAGCAAGGGTTGTAAATTTGAAGTCTGAATCTTGAATGGAGACTAACAGTGCCAGGAAAAAGGCTTGAATTTAGACCACGTGTCAAGATCCAGACAAAATTCAGTTAATCTTCCTCACCAACTTGAGTGAACTGAGGTCATTCTTGACTCGCTCCAACTCTTTGATCCTACGGGCACACAATATGACCTTTGACCCCACCCGGTAGAATGCGTGAGCACATGCTGTGAATAAAAACAGATAAACATTACACCAGGTAGCTTGCATTTCAGGATGTCATGAACAGATGTGTCAACCAAATAGCGATCGTGAAACCATGAGCAAAGGAGATCCATATAATGCAAGTTGCGTGGACTAAGCCAGGTCCACACCAGGTTGTCCACTCTCCAAAAAATAGGAAGTGACATTCAGGGGTCTGGGTTATTTAAAGAAAAAGGGAGGAGAACAGTTACAGACACCATCAACAAAAACCAGCTTAAAAGATGCTCATAGTAGAGGAAGGTTAGTATTTCCACTGAGTTTTCTCAAACTGAGGAATGTCCACACTAGGTAGTGTGGGTTGGTAAGAGTGTAGCTATAGGTTGGAGGAGTACGAACTGATGGATATGGGGATGGCTTAATAACTACCATTTCTACCATTTTACTTCCAGTTTTCAAAGCAAAATGTTGTTTACTTTCCTGGAAACTGTAAACAAACAATTACAAAGAGCTTAGTCTCTGTGTTTCTCTGTTTTCACGAAGTGACAAAAAGTCACATCATTAGCATGACCAAATAGAGACAATATACACAATCCCTGCATGAGTCTGTGTGTACACACATGAACGATGTTGTGTATGAACACATGTGTGCGTGTTGAAATGTAACAAAATATAACAATTTTCTTCAACTGCATATTCTTTTCACAAAGTGACAAAAGTGTGTATGATGCAACAGAAAAAAAAAGACCTCCAGGTTTTTCTTTTTCATGAAGTGAAAAAAAATTTTATTAGATTTTATTACTAAATTATTTTTTAATTAAGATGATATATCTGCAGCTAAGTATAGATAAGCATTTTCCAAATCTTATATTTCATGACTTTGTAAAAAAAATTCATCAATCATATCATAAAAGTGACACGTTTATCTTGGATTGTCCATTTGGCAAGATTTTGAGTTTTTGTGACTTCGTGAAAACAGTGACAAAATGTTAAAAAAGGCAATTTGTACAGTTCTAGTTACTTGGACTAAGAGTCAGTGTAGTCGGGCAAAGTGATTGATTGTCAGTAGTCAGTAATGAATCACCTTCTCCTACTCCTGAACTCGCTCCCGTGATGAGCACCACTTTATCCTTCAGAGCCGCTCTGCCTCGTCTGACAGCGAGCCGACGCCACAGCCAAAGCAGTCCCAGACTACCAAATGTCAGTCCGGCTACAATCTGCAGTTGACCTCTGCTCAGTCTTTCCATTGCAAAGGTACATGTATCTCTGTTGACAATACAAATGAAAATTTGTTAATAGGCTTATACAAAATTAATAAAGCAGAATAATCATCCAGTGAGGAAACACAATGCATGCAGTTTTATAAGAATGATGCATATATGGTGCTTACACCTGGTTGCACTTTTTTCAAAAGCCGGCGTAGAATTAGAGCTGACAGTGACATGACTGGTACAATATAAAATTTCTCTCGTCTGCTATTCAAGATAATCATGTTATTAATAGCCAGATCACGATGTACACTACTGCTAGAATACGTTCTTCTGAAAACTTCAATTTCAGCAAGGGGTTTTACTGGACAGACCTTCACAAATATACACTTTTCTGAGCACAAAAGTTCACTTTACGTTTGGAGGCTCGTAAATTTTATCATCCAGCTGATCAAACTGTAAACAAAACCGTGAACCCGGAAGGGATTTCCCCATGGTGGTGGCAATCGGTATCCTGCTCAAAACCAATACAGTACAATGGTGAATACAGTTAAAGTGAGCACCAGTCTGAAAGAATTTCTGAATGGCTTCTCCCAACGTCTGAGGGCGCACTTTAAGATTTACGGCTGTCTTATCTCCGCCTCGAGGCGGCACCGGACTATTTTCGGCATGCTTCGAATGCATTTGTTGACAATCACTACTGTGCAACTTGCAAAGTACCCGTGTGTGTGAACATACCGCATTTGAACATTATACGGACGTACATGTACAGTGCGTGCGTGAATGTCATTCCCAACGCTGAAATTCCCGAGAATTGCCAGAAATATTGAGTGCAAAAAACGCGTGTTTACGGCCCACCATGAGCCTGTCTGGGTGCCCGCACGTGGCTAACTTTAAGGCTGTGAACGGATCGACACCGTACCGGTTAATTCTGTCTTATTTCGTGTCGTGTAGCACTCAAGCAGCAGTTAAAAGAAAGGTAGGGGTCGTCGGGGGATTGTTGTCCGGTACACTGAGCTGAGGCGAAGCTCTAACTGTAGCCCTCAGCTGAGTAGTCTCGCCTGTGACCACGAGCTTGTCAATCCCGGTGTATACCTAAACTGTATTACAAAGGATTCTTTACACATTATTTTCGAACTTGTATGCGTTTAGGGGCATATTAAACGGAAAATTAATTCTTGCTTTCGCCTTTAACTTTCAGGGCCCGTGTCCTACTTACGTTCGTTTCATTGCACAGTGTGTGTTTCCGTGTGGGGGTTGGGTGACCTTGATTTCGAGTTATTGTTTCGATTGTGCGTGCAACAGGAACAAAGGATTTCATTGCAGATTTGGGACACAAATTTGCAGTTTTTGTAATGGCAAGGATGAAGTTTCTGTGTGCTGAAAGAGTTGACTTTGTTGAGTTTCCTCCCTCAATGCCTTGTTTCAAAAGCATATATCATTGGTCATTTGGTGGTAGGCTGTTTCCATTTTTCAATTTATTTTCTAACTGTTAATGAAGAAGTAAATGCAAAGTTGATAACCTTGAATTTAACTGTTCAAATGGAAAATATATGCGGAATGGACTTTTTGTAAATTAAAGCTGATAAAATATTGAATTACTTTCTGTGGATCGAAATACTCATTTAATTTTATTCATAATCCTTTCCAGACACTTTCTATGACAGCATTGAGTTTTGGAACGGTGAAACCTGTTTTGAAATATTTCCTTTTTCTCTTCTTGTTGGAGTTGATTCCAGATCACTCAAAGGGGTTTTTCATTCGTAAACAATCCCACCAAAAAGGTTGTCTTTTGTAGAGGTCTTCTTTCGATCATTCAGATAAACTATCCTGCATCGAGTCTGGCAAAATGAAGGAGATTTAGTTCTCAAAGAACCCTTCCCCATACACACAAACATTCTCTTTCTCAGCTGCCAAGTATTTGAAAGTCTGTCCTGTTCTGTATTTAGGAGGGTTATGAAAGTTGTCAGTTGATCTCATTTTTTAAAAAGTAACCCCAGTCAAAGAGCAGCCTGTAGTTTAAATTTATCTCCTTGTTGAGCTCACTTGTGAGGTCCACGCACCTGTACATTCATTCCTTCTACCTGCGCCAACATTGATTGCCTACTGTGACCATCTCTGCCCCGTCCGCAGGTGTGCCGCCTCACTTTGGTCAAAGTGAAGCAGTTGCAGTAAATTGCCCAGCTCAAGGGCACGTTGATCTTGATCTCCTTGTACAGAGAATTCTGTCGTGCCCATTAGCATGGTTGAGACGTCTGCATCAGCCCACCAGGCAGAAGGTCATGGGTTGCGACCTGCCCAGATGGCCTTTGAAATTTTTCAAAGTCCGAGCCTCCAGAGCTCACAAGATATCATGATACAGGCTGCTAATAGCCACAGAACCTAAGTGTTGTCAAACTGCCTGTTACATATATCTTTTTTTTTCCTTTTCTGCTCCCAGGCTCAGTCATGTCTATGTCACGTCTGTCGGCAATCAGACCTTAGACTCCACTCATGTCTCTACTGCGTTTTCTTCGGGTGCTACTCTGCAGGCCACATACACGACCATGCAAAGGCAACTAAACACAACCTCGGTAAAAATTTTTAAAAAGTCAAATTTTGGCATTGATTTACGCAAAGATTTCAGATAGGACTGACATTGAATCGACTTCCAGGTCTCAAAATCCCCAGGTTCCAAAGTACGCATACAGCACACCTTACAATGCCTAGGATAGCCTGTGTGCAGCATCTACAGGAAAGAACATTGCCGGACTGAAGCAAAGAATTATGAGTTATGAAGTTTAAAATTATAGATTTTTATTCTCTCTGCGGCATTCTCTCACACAAACTGTCTGACAGAGTGTCGAAAGATCCATTGACACTCATTTTAATATTCTGGTGAAGTTGGAGAAATTTGTTCATCAATGTTTTTTGCTTCCAATTTTGTAATACTTAGTTACATTCACAGACGAGATAGATTTCCTACCAATATTGTGATCAATGTCTTGTTTTCATTTTGAAATAAAATTTTGACATATGCTTATAACAATTTTGTTACCCGTCCTTTATTATGATCTTGCAAACCACCCATTCTTTTTTTCGTTTTTTCTTTAAAAGCTGTTGATCTTACCTATGGTGCTGTTTACTGTTATTCCTGTGGTGACTATGTCTATGACCTGGAGTTTGAGGCCATTGCCAAAGAAGAAAGAACCAAAGCTGCCAAATTTGTAGGTAAGTCAAACCAAGATCAGAGAAGGATTGTTTCTCTTTGAAGAAGGGCAGAGGAGAGGCTGCGGAAAGACGTTAAGGAGTTCAAGCAATAGGATTGGAGATCACTGTCCATCCAAAGCAAGCAATCAGAAGCAGTCATTCCCAGACTAGCAGAGCTCTGGAAGGCCATCAACTGACTTGAGCTATATCTGGCGGGTGGCTTTTGCCAAGGGCCTGGCAGTTGTAACTGCCAGGAGGGCAGAGCAGTTTGGGCGCAAGGCTGACTGCTCGCTGGGTCTGTAGAACAAGAGGAAATTGAATGCAGAATCCAGGAAAGTCATATCAAAGTTTAGTGCCGTATGGCCACCAAATGATTCAGATTTCACCTCTAAGGTTCCTTTACAATTCTTAAAAAAAAAAATAAAAATTTTAAAGTGCTAAACGTATCGTCGTAATTCTTGGGGTATCATTTTTGTGAAAAGAATTCAATTTCACTGCAATTCCTTGAAACCATAAGTATATGTTGGGGCCGGGGGGTGGTTAAACTGTAGGTAATGTAGGGTTTCTCTTATTCAATGCCTAATGAACGGACTAATTACCTGGTATATGTTTGCGTTAATAGCATCAGTGTGTGGAGTATTTCCCTTTATTTCATCACATATTTTTTTTAATTTTCCTGTAGATTTCCCTTGCATATTTGTTTACCTCTCATGAGATTTATGATTGGTAATAATTGTTCCTAAGTGCATTAGGCACAAAAGGGGAAACTCATTCTCTGGAGAACCAGTGTATATTTTGGACAACAGCTTCACTTTTTTTAGAGCTGTGAAAATTGCGAATACTTTCAAATGTGTTTGTAGTCTCTGGAATTCCGAAAATCAGATCTTCCATTGCAAGTTAGGCGACCTTATTCAAGTATTTCAATCCAATTAGACTGGGATGGTCTCCAAGGAAAAGTGGATTATCCCTAATCCAGTTTTAAACTGTCTAATGTTGGCTCATGCAGAGAGAGGGGCATGTTGTAGCTGTTTATGTGTACAGTATGGCTGCCCAGATATGCCACAGCAGTCTAGGAAATTCAGAGCTCTCGTTGGGCAGTTCATGGTCTTGGACATACATTTCGGACGCTTCATCAGTGTGTGTTATTAGACTTGTATTCAAGAAGCAGATTTTCATTTTGATAACAGGCATCAGCTAGTTGGTACATTAATTTCAAAACCTACCCATCCAGCATTATTCCTCTTGTAGTGATGGACTCTAAAACTCCACAGTGTCAGAGACACTCAGAGGAAGTTAATTTCACTACTGTTTAATTCTGTGTGGTTGGGGAAGGTTAGGGTTAAAGGCCCCAAATGGTCACCCAAATTCCATGAGTTTAATTACTAAACTGGCTTTTTTCCACCCAAGCAACCCTTAACCACATTACATCTCCTTGACATACCCCATAAATGAAAGGTCTGTTTCCTTTTTAATTTGATTCCACATCATATGTTGCTTTGGTGCCTGTAGTTCTGATGATTTACCAAATTTTGCATTCCTAAGCCATGTCCATTTTTCTGTGGAATTGCCTCTAATTATTCTAATCAAAACATGCAATACAGGAAAATAGATTGGCACGTGTCCACAATCATTTACTTCTACATCAATTAACAGTTTCAAAAGGGGCATCTGAAATTTCTCTTAGGTTATGCTACCAGACTGCTGAATGTCAGTCGTTCCATCTACTCCATGTCTTTAAAATTGAAAATTCTTAAAAGTGAAATCATTTGGCTTCACTGTGAGGTGTAAAATTTACGAAGAAAAGTCCTCCTTAAAGCTTGAAATTGAGACCTCAAAGGTGAAAAATGGAAGACCTTCCATTTGCCTCCTGAAAATTTCACAGAGCTTTATCAGTTGCCACATGTTTTGTTTTGCACTTTCTTGTGCTGGAGGCCTCAGCCTGGAGCTACATTAGAATCTTTCATTCGCTCAGCGAAACCTTGCACAGGTCATGTATGTGTCAAATCATTGTTTACAGTAAATTTCATAGAAGGAAAGCTAGCCACAGATGGCAAGTGATTACAAGAGTCGGTTGGCCACAGTGAACAGGTGGCTTTATGAGAACATTCCAAATTATCAGGAGAAAAAGTGCATTGAGAAAAAAAGTCTCCCAGATTGAGACAGCCTCCAGAAAGTTATATTTGATGACTTTGGAAAAATCTTGCAGGTACCCCTTGTAGCGTGCACGCTTTTCTGTCTTGGGAGGTTACGGCGTCTGAAGCCCAACTACTACGACAGAATCCCCAGCGTAGGAAAATCACGGCCAATTCGACGATAGGTGAGAGTCTAAGCTTGATTTTTAGATTAGTTTCCTTTTGAGGTAGCCTACATGTACTGGTACATCTACCTAGACCTGTCAGACCACAATGAAATGTGGTCTGGCCATATGAAATGTGTCTGCCAATATTAATTAAAGGGCTTATGCAGTTTTTTGTATCTACATAGCTTATAAATGCACCTTAATGCAGTAACCTAAAATCAGTTTACCTTATTTTCAATTGTTTTTTCTGTTTTGAAAAGTTTACTTGTGTCATTGTAGTTTTTATGCTTATGAGAACTACCATATTCATTTGCAAAACTGTGATGTCATTCCAGGAAGAAAAGCTAAATGTTGTATTCATATGTTTGCAAAAAAATGCTTGAATTCTGGACATTTTGACATTCTAAATTTCCATTTCATCGGTGAGTCGTTGCTGTGTAAGTACATTAAGCCAGTGAGTGACCTTTTCTGAGAAATATTTTCAATGACCAAATTTTGGGTTCTTCAATGTTTAATAGAAAAGCCTATGAACTGAGCAGTGTCTTCCCTAATTGCCATTGCAGCAACAGCGCCCTCTGTTTTCTGGAAAGACACAGACTATTTTCAGTGTTTAAAAAAGTGCAATTTTCAATACATTTACCCCCAAAAGAATGTTAAATAATTTTTTAACTTTGAAGACAAGTTTAAATTTGCACAAAAATTTGTCTCGGAGAACTTCATCAGAGGACCCTGTGATTACATTTCACGCGTTGATATCCACCACTTCAAGCAACCAACAAGTCTGTGCATCAGCCAAGTTGCAACTGCATTTTGCTTCATATCCACAGGTTTACGTGGGCTCATCAACCTAGGCAATACCTGTTTCATGAACTGTATTGTGCAGGCATTGACGCACACACCGCTCCTACGAGACTTCTTCCTAGCTGATAAACACAATTGTCAGATGGCATCCAGCGACCAGTGTCTAGTCTGTGAGATGTCTAGAGTGTTTCAAGAGGTGGGTTGCAGAACTTTGATCACAAGCTGTTTTTTTTTCTGATTCCCTGAAGCCTGAATGCTGAATGTATTTGTGGGTAATTTTAACCAGGCTGGTTTTTTCTGCAAGGCTCACGTTGATGTTGCTAAATTATGTTGCAGAAGATAAAGGTCGGCTGCTGCACTAAAGTTGGGCATTTAAAAATTAATCATAAGAGAAATGCAGTAAATCTTTAGAAAGAATGCGGACATTTATTTTACTGGAGCGGTTACACATTTCTTTTTATTGTTATGGTAACCTAAGGATTGATTTAGTTTTTTAATGTCAATTTTACTCTTGCTTAAAATTGATGATTGCCAACAATCAATTCTGTCCTTGCAGACTTACAGTCAACCCCTCCCCGCCCAGTTTTCACCAAAATGCAAAAATTGTTTCCAACTAAAGTGTCTTGCTTGCTCAGAGGACACAATTGCTATGATCCCTTGTTGGCTTGTTTTCAACCAACACAAGACACACTCTTCAACCACAAAAAAGTGTAAAAATCTTACTCTGAAACCTCTAGCACTCTTGCACAAGGCACATGTATACAGTACATGTATGGGTTTTTTCACAGAGTATTTTAAACTTGATCATGACCAACGTACTTCCTCCAAAATTCCAACACCCGATTTTAACTGATATTGATGATTCAGGATTGTATTACTCAGCTCCAGTTTCTTGACATTTGGCTTGGGATCCTCAAGTTTTTGTTAAAGTGTGTACATTTGTGGGTTACTGCACAGTGAGGGAAAGTTACAGGATGTCAAGGGTCTATCCAAATGACTTATTAATATTTATATTTGATTGGATGTGTTAATGTTTGTCGTTGGGGTGGTAGTGGCTTTTTTGGGGGGGAGCTTGGATGATATGGAGAAAACTCTTCAAGTGGATGTACGCAGCTTGTTATACTGGTATACATGTACTTTCAGTACAAACTCAGCTCTCAGACAAATGTGAACTTGATCAGACTTGTTAAGACTGAGAATAGAGTTCCGAAGTGTGACGTCACTGTGAACCAGAAAGTGCAGTGCAAACGAATGGAGTACGCGCCCGTGTTGGTTCACGCGCTGGTTCTCGTGCTAATGTCTTTTACACACTAATTATGCGTGTGACGTATTCACTTCGGTACTCTATGGCAAAATCTTGTATCGGTGTCTTCTAACTGACTATGTCGTGAATCTGACTTCCTCATACTCCCACTGAAAGTCAAGGGTCACAAACTTGCTTAGCATTTTTGGGTGTCACTGCTTGTGTTGCTGCCAACTCCTCTTTAGCAGAAAGCACTTGTGCCTTTTGGGTAAGCAAGACCTTGAAATATTTGTTAACTTCAGCCCAGACATTTAGAGTTCACCTGAACTGGTACACGGTGGTGGAGTCATCTATCAGTCTTTTACTTTTCACTTGAAGCCTGCGTGGTGTAATCCAACTCGGGCATAACTTTGATAAAGAGAGAAACAGACATTGTTCACTTCTCAATGTTCAGTTTTTATGGGTCATTTCTTTATATGAAAGGGAATGGAATACCAGCCACCACCAAAAAAGTCACATGTTTGTCAAATGCCTGCCTGTGAACTTCTTATCACTTCCTGATCTTTCCAGATGGGGGGGGGGTTTCAAGGTGAAATTTGAGATCGACTAAGTACCTTTTTATCAAAGGTTATGCTGGTGTCAATGAAGTCAAAATTATGATTGTTGTTGCCTGTTTTGAATTTTGAATCTTGCTCCAATCAGATCATCTGTTTTCAATTCTTTTTTACTTTGTTTAAAATTTAGTATTCTTATATTATGACTTCTAACCTGTAAAATTGTATGAAAATGTGATGAAATTAGTTTGACAGAAAGGTTAAACTGAAGCAATTGTGTGAATATCTGTTCTTGGGGGACCCAGGATTTTTTTGTAAATTTACGCTGGACTTATAATGCTCTATATCGGAGCTAATAGTTTAAGATTAGATGCATATAGTATCTTCATTTTTCCAGAAAGTAAGAAAAACAAATTGACAACCAGGGGTGGGGTGGGGTTCTCCCTTGGTTGCGCTCATAGATGCTGATGGGTGTCATGTGTTCACTTCTTCCAGATGGAGAGGTTTTTTGTCAAAGGATTAATAGTGGGTGAGTCTTGACAATTACCGTGCATAGAGCTATTGTCAGAAAAATTATCACATTTCTCAAAATATCTATTCAGTTCTAATGGTTACATGAGCAGTATTAACTTCAGTGCATAAGCATTTACCTGTAGGCTTTTGAGAGCTCTTTTAGTTTAAATAAGTCATAAGGTGCAGGTACTGTGCCTTTAATGGGGGGGTGGGTAAATATTTTAATCATTCGAAGAATCCAAGCTGCATTGCTCTTAATATGGACTTTTTGGCAAGTGAGACTGACTCTGTATAGCCAAGCATGTTACACTCGGCAGCTGCTTACATTGTTAGCAGAAATGCACATGAACTGAGTGCAGAAATTCCTGCAGGTTAAATTTCCCATCTGTCTAAGTATATTTCTGTCTTTTCCTCAAGATGGATAATTTGGTAGACTTACTGATGCGTTAACTGGGTATGACTCAGTACTCGCCACACCCCAAACTACATTATAGATGTCTCTTACTATTCCACAGGTTTTGTGCTTAATTTGTTCAAAGTAGAAATTACATTTACTGTTTAAAAAACAAAAATAGGTAAACAAAACATAGACTGATGGTTCTCCTTCCACATCTGAGATTTCCAGGAATGCTGTATATTTTTGTTCAGATAGAAGATAAATTGTGGTTTTGCTTTAGAGACTACCAGGAATTGACTGTTTTTAAGCAGTACAGTCATATCCGCTTTAACCTTTATAGCCAATTTATTCTCAAATGGAAGACTTCTCATGAACATCTCAATGCTTTGCATTGGGAACCGTTTTGTTTTTTAACAAATGTTATTTCCCCCATTTCCTCAACGCAACTTACACATATGCTGTGTATATTTCACAGTAACAGTGGAGCCTTGCCTTGGTGACCTGATTTTGTTTTTCTGTGTCAGGCATTTGTGCCTGTTTTCTAGTATCTATAATGTAGCGAGAGAAACGTATGCAGAATCTGTTTTGTAATAATCGGTGGGATATGTGGCTTCTCCTAATGAGCAAAAAAGACCTTCAGGGCTGGGTCTGTTGATTTCTTATTGAGCTGACAGTTTTCTGCTTTCAGAAAGATATGTGATGTTTGTTGGTTGTGAACTATCATTTCAGCCATCATGTGTACTGAAAGCTGTCCTGCTGATCTGAATAGCGCCCTCATTAGCAGACATACAAAGCAGACAGCAAGAATTCCATGCTCACTTCCAAGTTCTTTCAAATGATTCAAATGATTGTAACTTTCAGCCTGTGCATTCACTTACATTCTACAGTTTAGAATCCTTTATCTATCAAATTAATAGCCTTTAGTCAAGGCAGTTGCTACAGTATTAAAATGACTTTTTCAGTCTATGTACGACACAAATTGCACTTGAGCAAAGACTAGCATGCAGTACAATTGACAGCCAGTGTAATGACTGCCTTTACCAACTCATTTGTTGGGGGCTTATGTTTCTCTTGAGTTTCTGATACTGATTGTGTTAGCAAAAAAAATCAACAGACACAGTCTTGTTTTGAGCAAGATGGTGGATATACTCAATGGGGGCATGCTGGACCTATGACATTTGTGTGGATAATTAGCATTCTTAGAGAGGGCAGCCGGCCACTCTGAGTGGTCAGCGAAAAGAAATTTGCATACAGTCGGGGCAAAAAGGTTTCATACACTTGGTAGAAAAACAGTTGTCCTAAATTTTTCGCTGCTTGAAATAGTTTGGCCAACTTTTTCTTTACGAGGTCAGACAAAATGTGTCTGAACTTTATGTTCATAGTGTGTACTTCAAGTGAAAATACTTTTGAGACGTTTATTATGGTTTAGACTATTAATATCTCTGAAAAATCATTTTGTGAAAAAAATTAAATCTTCCAACTTATTGTGGTTCAAAAACACTTCAGAAAGTGGTCCACATTGACTATGAGATGTGACCAAAAATACAGAAAGTGGCATTCAATATAAGGGTTTTGGTATGTAAAATTTAGATTTTTTTTTTTGTAAATATAAATATGAATCGTATATACATCTCTGGGTGTTTTTATTTGACGCATACACTATGTACATTAAGTAGAGACCCAGGTGGTAGGAATGAGTAAAGTTGTGAAATTTGAGAAGTGTTTTTGTTCTACCAGGTGTATATAAACTGTTGGCCCTGCTGTACATCATTTCCAGTGTTGAATTATTCAGCATGAGTCTTCAGGCAAACAAATTAGTAAGAGCATTTGCAGCTAGCTGTGAACAAAACCCACTAGTCTTTGCATTTTTCTTGTATGCATTGAAATCATCGCCACGATCACCTTGGCTAAAGTCTAATTTAGGAGGGTACAGAAGTAACTTGTGCAGTGTAAGTTGACGCAGTGCAGTTGTGCTGAGCAAGAAGTCCTGTGTTCAGATTAGAAATGTTGATGGCATTTTGCTTACTAACCCGTTAAATTCTTTTTTTTTCTTCTTTACGTTTGTGCTGACAGTTCTACTCAGGGTTACGTTCAGTGCACATTCCATACCGTCTCCTTCATCTTGTGTGGACTCACGCAAGACACTTAGCAGGTTATGAGCAGCAGGATGCACATGAGTTCTTCATTGCTGCACTAGATGTACTTCATAGGCATTGCAAAGGTGGGACTGCACTGTACATGTGTGTAATGAAATCCAATAAACGGAGCTGAAAGTTGGCTTTGCTTGCATATGCCGTTTTGAGGGAAACAATGCCTTTTCAAAATTCTATTTAAAAATGATCACAGTGTTCTCGTGGTTGGCATTTTTAGAGACAAATCATCCATTTGATGCAAGAGGTAATATTTTTTTATCATTGCTTTTTAAAAATTCCACCCATAACATTCACACAAGGAGGATCTGAACGCTTTTCTGACGGAATCACGATTCCATAAATGATTTAATTGATGTACGGTGAAGTTACTCACGTCAGCAAGCCCAGAGTCTGGCCGTAATATTTGGCAATGGGCCAATTCTGTACTTTGGGGATTCAGTGTATGGCCACACAGGTAGGAGAGACAATTGTGTTCGTGTACTGCTGTTCCCGAATGACCCCTGATGTGCTTTATTTTTAAACATGCCTTGTTGGAAATGGCTCATGGAAAGATGATGAGGCTGCTACAGACGTAGATTTTTGGTGTTGCAAAAATGAAATGTGTAAATAAAGCTGAGGCATGCGCATTACTACCACTGGTCGGCAAAGTTGCTTAAATCTATGACATAACAATACAGATTCCTATGCGCGCTCAACCATGAGCATATACACGCCGTTTCTGCTCTAGTATAGTTTGGCATGAGTGCCAAACTTAAAGGCAAGGAATTGTTACTTTCCAATCTCGGGGTACCGAAAAACTTTCGAGTTTCAAGAAAGACGTGCTGAAATATCGGACAAAGGCCATGATACGGTTTTATTGACCTTCATCGCGCCAGGCTATGGTTGGAGCAGCTCTCCTACACTGCCGACGGTGATGACGGCTGCGCTTGCCATCCAGTGGTAGTAGCACGCATGCGCCTGTCTAATTTGCACATTTCATGGGAAAGGTCCATTGGTATTTCCTTCTTGTATCCTTGTGTTTATTTTTAGGCCACAATGGTGTCTCTGGCAACAATCCTCATCCTTGCAACTGCATCATTGACCAAATCTTCACGGGAGGGCTGCAGTCAGACGTAACCTGCCAGTCGTGCAAGTTAGTGTTCATTCTCTCCCCCAACCACCCCCCCCATCCCCAGAATCCCCACAGACAGGAAATTTGGAGTAAGCACAAGCACTTTGATAAAAGGGTGTCGGTTTGATTATTCTTTTTTATAGCTGTTTCTGGTTTTGGATGAAAAATTTCGTTTAAAGTCAAAACGGGGATGCTTGTGATTTCCACGAGCGCATCACCGTCGCCGTTGACAAATTTGTGAGCAGGCTCTTTCAGCATAAGATGCCATCGTTCTGATTGTTGTGACAGGGGTGTATCGACCACTGTCGACCCCTTCTGGGACATCTCCTTGGATCTGGGTCCCTCAGGTAGTCATTCGTCATCTTCTTCATCCTCTGCCCCGATTCCTAATGCTGACCTCTCAGTCGACAGCAACTCCTCAGGTGAGTAGGCACCAGAGATTTATTTGTCGATTTGGCTGAGTCCAAACCTTTCGCCAACCAATGGGTCATTTGTACAAACTTTGGTTGCCCATACGGACTGTAGGCAATAAGAGAATGGCCCATTAAAACTCAGTATCTAAGACGCAGTGCAACAGTACCTGCCAATAGGCCTCATATTGCTCTGCGGTAAGATTTGAATCAGTAACGTCCAGAGCTTTTGATTTGACTTTTTGTTCCTCTGCCTTTCGCAGGTTCCAGTACTAGTAGCGGTAGTGTCAATAATGGAGACTCTGGTCTGTTGTCTCCGACGGGTTTTGAGGATGTCCCTACCTCACTAGATGACTGTCTGAGAAGGTAGTGTGTCTTTTCTCCAAGGAAGGATCTGAACACTCAGAACGTTTCGATTCTTGTTTAGAACGCTCCATCTGTGTCTTTGGCTTTGCCTCGAACTTGAGAATTAGTTTCAAACATTTATTGTCTGCCGACGAAGTGGAACTACTCAAACGCTAGCTTCATGTCAGATATTCCGATGCTACGGTGAGTTTGCATGGGGCTGCATTCAGTTGAAGGGTCTTTTCGCAGTGGTCTAATTGAACCACAAACAAGGGTGGACCCACGGATTTCAGAAAGGGGGGATGTAAACTTGGAGGGTCAGATGCGAGCATACACTGTGGAGCCACAGGTCATTTAAAATGGAATCATTTAAGATTCATTGTCATGGAGGCAGTTAGTGGGGGGGGGTTGCATGCTCACCCGGTGTGCCCCCCTCTCCCAAATCTGCCACTGACAATGCAAAAGACAGAGGCAAAAGCCAGATTTGGACACACACACCGCCGCCGGTCTTTTTCTCAGCATGTGTTAAGAGTAGGAACTTTTCCGTACTACACTTCTCAAGATTTCCTTTGAGGGGCCTTTAAACCTTCATGTACAGTGTTTGTATGCAAACTACCATTTTTCTTGATAGAACTGCTTTCTAAATCAAACAGAACATCAGTGACCAAAATCGTAGAGTTGGTATGTGTTATTTAAATGCACGCCAAATAAGCGTGAATTGTCCCAATGCCGACTATAATTGAGTAGCTTTCAACAGTTTCCTTTATCTAAATTGGATATTGCTTCAGTCCAAATAGATTTTCTCTTTTGTACCCACAGGTTCACAAGACCAGAACATCTAGGCACCAACTCAAAGATCAAATGTAGCCGTTGCCATAGTTACCAAGAGTCCACCAAACAGCTCACCATGAAAAAGCTTCCTCTTGTAGCATGCTTCCATCTTAAGGTACTGGCCAACTTATATCTGAAAGCAGCACAATTAATAGTAATCATGCTTTGCTACAAGGCTGCATTATAACTTGGTACTCGTGTTGGAACATGTTCCTATTTAAGGTTAGTAAGGTGAAACTGAACTCGTAAGAAAAGATTATAGATATTAAAGTTTGAAATGAATCCATTTGAAACACCAGAGTTAAAAGCCATGTTTTCCGAAATTAACATTTTCATTATGTGACAGCTTTTCATAAATCTCAAATTTTCAGGTTAAGAATTAAAGAAACTAAGAAGAAAGAGGGTACTTTAGTCATTGCAGAAATTTATAAGGAATGTGCTCTTATTTTTTGTTTAAAAGTGAAACGATTGAACTCATGCTATATATGCATAAAGTGGCATTTTCTGCCGATCTGTTCATTTACAGAGATTTGAACACTCCAACCGATTCCGAAAGAAGATTTCCACCTTTATCGCCTTTCCCCATGAGCTGGACATGACGCCATACGTCTCCTCACATCGGCGAGCCAACGGCATTAAGAACCAGTCACACTCCAGTACCTTACTATCTACCTCAGAGAACAAGTGAGTCGACCAACCACACGTGCTCTGACAAAATTATTTGAGCATCAAAACTGCAAACATATTTTACACATACTCCCCTCCTGTTTATTGTCGTTCTTTTTTTTTTTCCGTCTGTGTTCTATGGATGGATTTTTAATCTTTGTGATTTTTTTTACGTATTGTCTTTATGATAGGTCAATCTGAAATACCCCTTTTACCATCCGTGTTTCCTGCATTGTATCTGGCCATTATAACACAGGCCATATTTGAATCATTAGTTACTGCTGGAAGTAACATACATGCAACAGCGGTATGATTTTCAAAGTCGGGGGGGGCAGTCGCTAGACCGTCAGGCATCAGCCATAAATAGGTCAATCCATTAACCTCCATCCAATCATAGGACCTGCAAAAAAGGGGTGGGCTTGAAACAGTGGGGGGCACTGGTCCCCTGCGTCTACCGCCAGTGCATTCATGTCTTTGAGAAGTGGCTCAAGCCACTAGACCATTGTCTTCCATAAGTGCCTGTGCTATTTGGAGCCACAGCCATAACGTTTGGACACAGCCATTCTCCTGTTTCTCTCTTCACGGTCTCCAGTTGTCCTTGTCCTTTTAACATTTACGGGGATGATTAGTGACTGTCGATGGATCGCTGGATTGTCAGACCTTCCTGAAAAAAAAAATCTGCTGATCCTCTCTTCTCTTTTTGGGTCCCCCGCCAGATACTCGCTGTTTGCCGTCGTCAACCACCACGGTACGATTGAGACGGGTCACTACACATGTTTTGTCCGACAGCACAAGGACCAGTGGTTCAAATGTGATGATGCCCTGATTACCAAATCCAGCGTGCAAGATGTACTACATAGTGAAGGGTGAGTAAGGATTACAAGAGTTAGAGATCAGACTTATGAAATCCTTTTTTTGCACAGTTTAGCCAATAAAAAGGTGCAGTCCATCATTTTTCTTTTTTGCATTGTTGTTTGTCTGAAGTAACAAAATAACCCAAAATCTAAAGAAAGGTGTCTAAAGAACAAACTTGGTGAAGGTGCAGCTCGGTGAGTTCTGTTTATTCCGAGAAAAACAGTATTGTAGGATTTTGATTTCGGATTGAGTTTTCTGCATCACGTTTTGAATTGTGCCTGAATTTGGTGTCTGGGACATGTTCTCACATTCATTTGAATGTAGCTACATGATGTCACTAAACTGACAAATTATAGTAACCACACACACATTTATGTCGTGTGAAAGCTTGCGCGCACTTCTAATGGTAATTTTCAAAATGTACGTCTTTTGTTGCATCTTTGGAAATGGCCTTCGTTCATTGTTTTCTTCAAAATGACAGCTTGCTAGAAGAATAATTTCACAGGGATTTTAGTGCTGTAACTTTAAACCAAATATGCTTTTCAACAATATTTTGGTCAGGTACCTTTTGGATAATTGCAAATGATGGACTGTTCCGTTAAATGTATATATTTATTTATTCCATTTTAATTGTTTTCTCCTGGTAATGAAACCAAGGGTTGCTCAAATGTACACGGGCCCTGTAGCCCAGGGAGAAGACAATGTAGAAATGTTCAGTTTCAGAGATGGGATGACAATTGTAGATTGATACGGCAGGGAAACCCATGAATTCAGGCAGGGACTGAAAGCCCAGTCGGCCTAGGTGGGATTCGAACTTGGGTCAACGAGATGGAAGGCGAGGAAAGTACCACAGCCCCATCAGAATCAGATTATTCTGGCTGGACGATTACAGGGTCTGGCTTGTGTTTCCATTGACTCTAGGTAGCAGTTGTACAATAATGTACATAGATAATGCCGTGGTGCGTACACACAAGAGCCTTTAGTGCATGGCACATCTCATCTGTGCATAAAAGTATGCATGACCAGATTTCATCTGGATGTGCGCAAATACACGGCATCCAATCGTTGGTGCTGAGAATAAGTGGCAGTTTCATTCCGGTTTCTGTCGTGTCTCTTTTGTCGCTGTTGAGGGAACATTTTGCTTTGAGTTCATAATTGAGGCTGAAGTCTGAGCGGAAGTTCGAGTCCCATCAGGGGACACACTGCAAGTGTCCATAGGCAAGGCACTTTACCTGATATTTTTTTTCACTGCATCCAAAGTGCCAGTTGTAGTATAGATAATAACATTATATTACTTGCAGATAAGCTGCTGCTATAATTTGTGTCCCTGTCATTTCAGGTATTTACTGTTTTACCACAAGCGCATCTTAGAGTACGAATGACGTTTGATGGACAGTTATACCAGCTTGTTCCAAAGTACCAACAAGTCAGTGCAACTGAAATTCTTCACCTCTAGCATAGAAGAGGCCACCCAGGGGCTGGTTACTGTTTAATATTAGTGTGGTTCTCAATGCCAACTATATGCCTATTCCATATTTACCGCCCATAGGTGTCGTACTCAGTAACACACAGACCTTTCTTCTATTTGTGCTTGCCACTCAAGCTTTGGTACGTAAAAATATGCATTGGCATTTATTATTCCCAACCCTCTGTTAATTCCGCCATGGTCTGCAATTGCCAGCCAAACAAAAAGGTTTTCTCTACTTAGTATGGTTTCCCAATACTCACAATTTATCGAGACCCGTAGTTGCCATGTTGTATTCTGTTACATTGCTGTGTGCTCTATCTCAAGCATGTAGGTGGCCATGTTGCTGTACACAGTTAGAACATTACATGTATTAGCTACCAAACTTTTGTGATCATATTTCCAGTGCATTTTACCATAGGAAAATATGGCCAAGTAGACTACATTTGCTTCAAAAATTTCCATACCCCCCCAAAAAAACAGTTTCAACGCAGTAAAAACAGGTGGTTTTAAGCACGTTTGCGAAGGCTTTCACGACTTGCACATTTGTGGTAATTCCAACCTTTTGTCTTATTTATAAGAGTTGGTTGATAGTCCCAGATATTCTGGAAATGCGCAGAGCAACCTGAAAGTATTAGTTTCTTCTCTTTGATGATAAAGAAGGGAAAACAGGTAACAGTGACACCAGTGAAATGTGCAATTTGGCTTTTGCCAAATTTTTTTAAATTCAAACTAGGGTACACACCTTGCTATATTAACACAAAGGCAGGAGTCATTTCACCACCTCCCTTTCAATGGTAGAAATTTCCACTTGAGTCCTGTGATAACCCTCAAAGAAATATGTTCCTCAAAACGTGCTGGGTTTAGCAAATTGTATCAACACTGCTAATCCCCGCCAAGTGTTCCCCTTGAGTGAGGGGCAGTGCTTTGGCTGGAAGAGGGCGAACAGTTCTGGGAAAGTGCATTATCTCATCAATGGTCTTTTTCTTGGTTTCTCTCACGTACACGGATGCAATTATACTCGTTTGATTACTTGAATATTATAATGTGTGTGATATCAACAGTCCTCTGCAGGGAAAAAGAAATACGTTGTAGCATTACAGAAGCTAGTGGCTTTTAAAAATACTACTATTAAGTAGCAGGTAATGAATATTATAATTTCCCGGCGGATTGTCGGAATTGTTATCGTGAATATGTAGAGAATTACCAAGTTTTCTTTAAACTTTTTTTTTTTTGTATTTTCTCCCAATGGGGGGCTAAAAATTGTCTGACCAAACCTCGCCGCTTTTTATCTCTGTCTCCCCCCCCAAAAAAATGCAACACTGGACATGTAGGTTAGTAGTGTTGCTTATGTATACTTCATTGTTGTTTCCACAACTGTAATGTAACAGAATCTGGAGGGTGCTTTGTGCCCTTTCATCAAGATCAATGCCCCTTTTACAACCCCAGCAAAGTAATCATATCCTCCCCTTCCTATTTGGGTGATTTCACTCGCATTTCATGACGAGCGATGAATTCACTTCTGCAAAATACTCAAAATGGGTGATCCAGCACACAGACCCTTTTATTAACTTGGACATTCATATTGACAGTAAGCTGACAAAGCACGTTACTGAGGTACATTATAATCAAGTATATAAAACACTGGAAGCGCTCACAAATTTGTCTAAATTCTATATTTGGCAATTTGAAAATTCAAAATTGGCTTATGAAAAGATGGTCTCATCCATGGAACTGTTTTTCATTCTGGCTCGACGCAAGAAAATGCATTCTGTAGAATGATTGTGCGTATTACCACTCCTAGGTTCAGAGCTGAAATCTTCTTCTGAACAAAAGTAAGTCAGTGACAATCATTTCTGTACACTGTTTTAAACTTATGAGCTACAATTTATCAGTCATTCTGCAGAAAAAAAAGCAGAAATAAAATCTCATAATATAAACAAGCAGCACCGTGCCACAGTTGCATCAGCCCAACTACAGCACCCAAGATGGGATAGTCCCAACTACTGCTGGGACAGATTCTGTTGGTTGGGGGTGTACGATTCCATACTCATCAACTAATAACCAATAGAAGCTTGACTCAAGTCAACTTTGCACGCGTTGTGAGAGATTGTCCAGTTTTTTCTACATTCAACTTCATTAACCACCGTAGAATTCAAATTTCAAGTTTTTTCTCATGATTCATGGAAGCAAATTTAAGCAGTTGTATTTCTTGGATGCACTGGGTATAAAAGCGTCGACTGCAGCCAATAGGCTGAAAATGTGCACAAATGTCAATGTGGTAACTAAGCTGCACTTTGTCACACACCATAAGCATAATATGGTCTTCCATTTCTTTGACAAAGGAATACATATAAATGCTGCTGTTTATATTGTGGCTTAATTGGGCAAGTTTTAAAAAATAACCAGACTCAAATACTAGATGACCCAGTGTGTAGAGCTGCCAAGTTGTTCCCAACGGAAGACAGAAAGCCAGTGAAAGGCAATGTGCCAGACATCAAGTTCTGTAGGCCGAAGTTTAGAGGAGCAGCAGATTTAGGTTTTTTTTTTTTCCTTCACTGCAAACATTTACAGGGGTTTTGGTGGCTCTGTGTAATTTGGGCCCAGACCATTGACTGGCACACAAATAATCAGTGTGTTGCCTTCATGGTTCAATCTTTGCATGGTTGGAGCTGAGACTGGTCGATTTTGTCATATGAGTGTCTTCATTTGTGGATTGTCAGACTTTCAACAGTGCCTCACAATATGGTTGTATCTTTGTCAAGTTGTGATGTTCGTCCAGCATTGAACCCCTATATTGGAATGAGTGATGGTACAGTACGTTGTTTGTTCATTTGAAAACGTAAATGTATTGATCCTTTAGTGAAAAGTTGAGCAAATAGCACCAGTTTGAACAAATATGGCAATTGGATGGCCTCCAGTTTGGCAAAGTTTAGAACACAAGCGAATAATAACTTGCCATCCTACGATTCAGCACAGACATTTTGCCTCGTGTTTTTTTTTTTTGGTCAAAGTTACGTGGCACATTGTCGCTGCAAGAAATGTGATGAATAGACTGATCCATTAACCCTTACGTGCGCGTGTGTATGATACACGGCTGGAAGACGTAGTGTGGCACTAGACAAGAGCACATGCAAAGTGCCCATGTGAGCAGTGGGGGGGGGGCTTACTGGATCGGTCTAATTAATCTGTGCAGGATTCTTCCATGCTGTCAGTGTTCTTCACTTCCCCCAAATCACTTTCAGATGGAGACTGACAACCTCGTTCAAAATTTGGCACAGGATGTCTGTTTCCATTGGTATTATTATACTTAGACTGTGTAAGGTATCAGCACTGTGGTGTATGGTGTCACGATTTTATAAAACAAGTGTTACGGAAATATGCAAGGTGGAAGTGGAAACCTGTTAAGTTCAAATAAAAAGCAAGGTGAAAGAATGCCTTGAAGTTAGCGTCAAAAACGTGCCAATGTTGTTCATGCACTGCAAGCTCTAGTCACCAGTCGCACTTCCCCCCTCGCATCCAGTTCCTTTAACTTCTGATACTCAAGTAAGAAGTTGTGGACTGTTCCATTGTAAGAAAACTCCACGACATCTTCATAGTAATGATGAGGTATTTTTCTTCCATCTTGGTCCTCATGGAACGGGAAGAAGCCATAGAGGGTGATGTTATCACAGAAGGTCCTAGCCACGGCGAAAATGTCGAAGCCAAGTGTCCCCGTACCTTTCAACGCCCACTCCCTGGTAGAGGGAAAAAAACAATGACATTTGTGTACTTCAGGTAGTGTCAGTGTAGGTTAAACGCAGTTTCTCTTTACTTTGGTCAACAGGGTAATGGCATTGAAATCAGTTAAGTTTTTTTTTTCAAGCCATTCATTTCCTTTCTCCATGGTAACATGTCTATAGTCGTCAGTTTGTAACTAACAGTCAGTTACCTCGCTGACCAACCTACAAACTGTATCAACTGATAAACTAACAACTTACTTCTCCACATGTATGGACTTCCAACTGTATGCATAATGAATCTTTGTATGTTTGCTGGTGGACTTCAGATACTGCGTGACTAGACGAAACATTTCATCATACGGCTCCCGCAAAGTCTTCAGATACCACAATATTGTCTCATCCAGAGTCGATAGGTATTGCAAATATTGCCCCAAAAGGTCTAGTGTTTTATTGGTGGCATTGGGAGCTAGTCCGTCAGTGAAATTCATCAACGTCATGGTGTTGAATGCTGACAGGTTGGCCGTTCTGCCAACGTCTTTTTCATAGCCCTGTAACGGTGGCAGGTTAGAGCGGACAACGAAGTCGTGGGAGTCGATCTCTGCGCCGCATCCGCTGCCGACGAGGATGCCACCATTCCCCACGACAGCGCAACGCCTCTGCTGCTCGATCAGCCTCATGTCTGGAAAATGATCCTTCATGTAGCACCGCTCAGTGTTCAGTTTTTTGGTGAGAAATTTGGTTTCTCTCATTGCTGGGACTCGTACCGCAGGATACATACGGTTGTAGGTGTGCTCTTTTGCTGGGATTTCATCTCGATAGACGAAAACAGCCAAGTCAAGAGGGACGCAGGTGCCTCCTGATCGCCTACAGAAATGACACAGAATAATACGTTAACCTGTTAACTGTGAATGGGTCAGTGAAGAGAGATGACACAAAGATTACAAGGTTTTATTGAGGCAAACTGGTAAGTTTATTACCTCAGTTGATCAGTTTTTTATTGAAGTGAGATCAAATTTGGTCTACATCAACCCCAACAGAGCTTTTAGCTTCTTTTGTGTGGAATTATTTTCATGAGTACAATCAAGTGCCTCATCTCGCAGATGCTTGTAGCATCATGCCAATACCCAGGAGTCATTTCCCAAACCCTGACCTAAACAGTCAAAATGGATCGGCCAGTGTCCCCCCCAACGAAGGAAAAGAAAAATGAGCCACCTACTTGCTACAGACGGTGCTACACCTCAGCGTAGCCTTTGTCCATTTCTCCAGGCGGATGAATTTCCCTAATTTCTTGCTCTGAAACACACCGGCATTGTCCCTTGTCCTAGCCACCACACCTAGCTGCTGGAGTTGGTCATCACCGACATACATAAAATGTTGGATGGCCCACAGGGTTACCATCGCCACCAAAAGAGACAGGCAAGAGACAAAGACGTAGAGCACTCGCAAGCACATCATTTAGAGACACTTTGAGATTGGGTAACCTCTGCAACTGGCTTTGCAAGAGAAGCTGACTGGAAAGCAAGCACGGGGAGAAGATGCGAAAGGAGGAGACTTGGGAAGAAATTAATAGTTGTAACTTTCTTCAGTTGTGACAAAGGAGATGAATACTTACTTGGAGCTGGACTTGATTAAAAACAGCATGGGAAAATGAAGCAAAATTATGAATAATTCCCTCACAAACTCACTGCTTTAGCTCGATGTACATGTATGTTGAAACGATGCTATTAATGTTTTTGAAATATCGTTCAAAGTGAGTTTCATAAATTCGATAGAAATTAAGATCAATCAGTGACATGTTATTGGGTGGGAAATGTGAATGGCTATAAAAACAGTTCCTGTTAACATGAAAACTGTCTTTCTGTCATCATGTAGCATCATGTTCAGCATCTCACAACTCTTGAAAGCAGGTGTGGTCATCCATAATAGTATGACCACGCCCACAATAAAAACCACAACAGGAAGACGGCTCTGCAGAGAGTTTTCATTTTAGCAGGAAAATCCGTGTAAGATCATGAACATTAAAGTCCATGAGATCCTATGAAAGCTCAAAGATATCAGCGTTCCCCAGCACCTAGCTCTTGAGCACGAGTGACGTCACAGTTTACACAGATGCGAGTAATTCAACACTTTTCGTGCATGGATTTTTTTTTACCACATTGGTACAGAAATGTTTAAGAAAAAAACATCAGCCTTCTCTATGAGACAGCAAAGGTGCTCATTTCTTCACCATTTGTACTTGGGTTTTGGTGCTCACAGGGGGCAATCAGATGTGTTATATGAGAGCTAGCAACAGGTCCCTAAATTTAATATGGGGCGGGAACCAGATTAGGAAAAGTTGCTGGTCGCATTTGCTTGTTTTGTGTCACTGACATCCTTTAACCCCAATCTTCCCCAACCCCCTTACCCCAATCTTCCCCAACCCCCTTACCCCACTCTTCCCCAA